TTTTGCTTTTTATTTGTTTGGCTCTCTCTGTGTAGTACCGGCTGGTCTTGAACTTGCTTATGTAGCTCATGCTGGCCTGGAACTCACAGCAGTTCCCCTATGTCAGTCTCCTGATATCTGGGATTATAAGTGTATACCACCAAACCCAGTTTGTGACATTCTTCTTCGCTCTGTGTTTCTCTAAGAACCCTAGGGATCAGATGGCAACAACATTCATGCACAAATGTAAACATAATTGTTCTCAAAAATGTAAATACAATCATTTGTAGTAGCAATGTGACTCTGAACTAAAAGTTTTATTTTTAGTTCTATTATAGGATATGGTGCAAACATTAATTTCTGTTCCTGTGGAAAGGCATATTACATGTTGGAGAATTTTGTAAAATCAATATATACATAGAAACAGAAAAATTTATGATGAGGATGCAAACTAAGACTAGCTTTATAAGCATGTTTCCAGTTTCACAAATATTATTTTATTTTGTGCTACATGTATTGTTTCTATTGTCACATAAACATCCTATTCCTTTACTAACAGCAAGACTTTTAATAACAAAGATATAATGCTTTTTCACTTTAAAAAATAGAATTTAATATTTGTGGTTTTCTTTTTACCACTATGGCTTTAGTTTTTAATTAAGTTTTCTATCAGCATTTTATTCATATCTTACCTATTGAAATTTATAATTTATTTTGATACCTATAATTTATTTTGTTCCACTCATGAATATTTATGTAATTTTGTTTGTAAAATTAAATAATATAGATATTTCTCAAATGATATTTGAGACTTTGAAATATTAATTTTCAATTCTCTAAACAAAATGATACTTTTATATACAATTATAGTGTCTGACAATGTGTTTATTATCACAAGTAGCCTGGCCAGAGAACAAGTCATATTTAAAGAAATTCAGTAAAACAAAAAAACAAAAAATAAACAACAAAAAATTTTAATTGTCTTCACAGGCTCTTCATTAAGATTTTCTCTTACAAAAGACTAGAAAGTCTATCTGTAAAGCCAAAGGAATTACTCTTTTCAGGTGGCTTCTAAAATGTCACAGTACATTTAAGGCTGTTTGTTGCAGCCTGCTATTTCCATAGACAGAAAAAAATGAGTGGCCTAACTGAATGGCATTTAATCCTAACATAGCAAACTTGTATTAATTCCTTTTTCTGAAACATAAGGAATACCCAATATGTTAGCTGTACAGAAAAGAATAATTGAATTGTTAAGAAGAGGAAAGACAAAACTCTTTTCACAGCCCTCTTATGGACCTTGGTATTGAGGTCCATAAGCAGAGCCCATGCTGCTGAGTTCCAGGTTTCTGGTATGTCTCATCAAGGAAAGATATAAAAGGAGCAGCGAAACCTGGGACAGAACAAAAGGGATCACCTAGGTCAAGGTAAGAAGAGAGAGAAATCACATATATAAAGTAAAATTACTTATCTGTCAAAAGATATTATATGTGATAGCAGTAAGTGATTCTAGCAACAGAAAATAAAAAATCAGTAAGAAGAAAGAAAATCTAAGAAGCACAGAAACCATTCTGCTCGTCCTCTTTAACCAGAGGATAAGAGGATGGGAGAAATGGGTTCTTTGTGGAAGAGAAAGTACTTAGCCAGGTGCAAAGCCAGTTGGTGAAGTGAGAGAATTACTTCTATCATACATGCATCACACAGTTCCATCAACAGATAACTGATTCTGGACACAGTAAGCAGGTGAGGATTAGGTCAGCTAAAGGGAACTTTTGGTTCTCTAACCATTCAGAGCAGTTTACCAGTGCAAAAACACATTCCCCAGAACTCTGATGATGAATTCTACTACTGTCAGTTTCAGATACATTATATCCAATAAAGTGAAGATTACCCAGACAAAAGTCCAAACTACTAATATTTTGTCTCATTTATGAATTTTCCATCAAACTTTTGAAGAATAGCATTTATGGATTTTATTTCTTTGTCTGCTTTTGAGACAGTATCTCTCTAATGCAGTTCAGGCTGGCCTTCAACATGCTTCAACCGGGCTGGACTTGAAGTCATCATGCTCCTCCTGTGTCAGCATCCGAGTGCTGGGATTACAGGCATGTGCCAGCATACCTGGTTTGTTCTTGATTATTATCTTCATTGATTTTATTGCAGTTTCATTTTTGATCAGAATCTCCTGTTGAATTCAATGTCACATATGCTTAAGGAAATATTTTTCTGTAATATTTATCTTAATCTAGAAAGATATCCCAAATAGTATAGTCTCATGTACTTTCATGTAAATATTTCTATTTCTTTGAAAGAACTATTAAATTCCAAACCAATTAGTCTCTGTGACAATGGGCTTAAGTTTTCCTCTATAGTGATTAAAATGTTACATTTAGATTCAGGTCAGATTCTATTTCACTGATTTGTACTTTTCTCCTCCACTCAAATCCTACATTATTTGCGTCCAGGTATCTTTGTTGTTCTTCATAGAAAGCTCTAGAAATAATCTAATAATTTAGTTACGATTTAATATATATATTTTGTGTCACTTAATACTATATTTTAAAATTTCACTTCCCAGGTACTAATGCTCTTTACAAATTTGGGAAACAGGATTGCCTACACTTTTTAATAATGAAATATATTTGTATGAATAACTAGAAACTCAGTTATATGTTTGATTTGCATGACCTTGGGAAGTTTACCTAACTCCTAGTTCTCTTTATCTGAGAAGTGATAATACATTTTTTCCTCTAAAAGTACACAAATTGAAATTATGAACAAGATGTATATAAATATTTTTGTAATTCTTGGTATTAAGAACATAATAAACTTTAAAAATTATGCAGCTAGCAATTTGTGCGTGTGTGCGTGCATGTGTGCATGCATGCGTGTGTATGTGTGTGTGTTTATCCTTCTGGTATTACAGCTTTGTTTTGAAAATAAAACAAAGCGAAAAATAAAAACGTTTCTATCCCTAAGGTTGTATGTATAATTATGTTCATTATTTCCTTTTTATAGTAAAGTAACCCAGGATTTTAAATCTACAGGATTTTAAAATCAGTTATACTGATAAGCTTCTGTTTATTCATAATAATTGTATCACCTTTCTGCTTTCTCACACTTCAGAAATCTCTGGACTAATATTTAGGGCCCTAAATACTAGGCAAAGATAATTCTTTTCCTTTATTGAATGATGATTATGTACAGAATAACTGAATATATTGGCATTGCTTATCTATTCAACAATATTTACTGTCCACTGTGCATCTGGCAAGAAACCTATGAATCATTGGCTCCATGGATATTATCCAGAAGTTTGTCAAAAGGAACAAAATGGCTTGTGAGTTAGAATAGTAAGTGGCTTAGTGAGGGCAAAAGTTTAGTGTTTTCCCTAGGAAACTTTATTGAATTGCAGCATGTGGGAGGAAAAATAAATCAGCAAGGTTTGGGAGTAACTGTGAAGAACAAAGGGTAAATCATTGTATATTTGCTGAAATTATGTGGTTTATGCTCTGTCACTGTCCAGAAAATCTCTCTTCTTGGATATATGAAACAAAACTAGAAGATTAATGCACAATTTTGGAAAAATAAGGCAGCCTATGAAAATGGCACTGGTTGGTAGTAGCAAAACTTTTATCTGGCCAGGGGGACTTGGGAAAAATTATTGTAAAAACATGCCACCAAAGTTTAGTCTTAAAGCACAAAAAATATAGGCACAAAAATGGTAAGGAAAGTAGAAGTAACAGGAAGATGTTCTAGATAAAGTTTGGCTACCGACAAGGAATAAACAGTGGGAAGAATAATTACACAAAGCCAAACATGAGGCTGAGCACGTCAGGACTTTTCTTATTTTAAAAACATGACGTGTTGTTTGCTACACACAGTGGAGTACAGAACACCACAGCCAATTTAAATCTTTAGGTCAGGAAATAATGGCTCCTTCCTGCTCATATATCTCACCTAGAATCATGCTAGAGAGGCTGATTTCTACCATTTAGGACTCCTTTAGGACTGAAAAGTACCTCTGGAAAAGCAGGGTTTCTATATTTCATTTCATACTTCATTCACACTGTAATGCAACATTCTATCATAGCATAATGTGTCAAGAGCTAAGACAGGCTTGTTTCTAATTTTTAGACTAACCATTAAAAGTGGGTACTCTTACCTTCATTTAATGGTCAAAGACGCGGGTTTTCAAAGAGTAGTGGAGTCACCCTTAGGTGAGTCAAAACTAATTTTATTCCAACTAGGTCTGTGTGATTTAAAAACTTGGTTTCCTTTATACTGCAGTTGCTTTTAATTAGTAGTGTATATTTCAATTACCTCAAGAACTTTTAAAAATGAAATTTGTTTAGTTTTTGATAAAAAAATCACATACATAATTAAAAATAAATAATACTATTAAGACTAGCATTGAGAAACGGAAACTTTGCCTTTTCTTTTCTACCTAATTTTCTTTCTCCAGAGCCAACCACATCTAACTCCCAGCTATCACTGTAATGTTTTTTTTCTTTTTCCTTAACACTTACATTGGGCACAGAGGTGCACATTTGTTGTCTGAGTACTCTGGGAGGCTTAGGCAGGAGGATATGAAGTTCCAGCCCAGCAGCCAGGGCAATTTAGTGAGATATTGTCTTTTAAAACAAAAAAAAAAAAAGTGTGTATGTAGGTGAGGGAGCAGGTGCGATACAGTTCAATGTAAGTGTCTTGAATTTAATTCCAATATTGCAAAACATACAAACAGAAAAAGCCCAACTCCTTCACCAAAACCAAATATTTTACTGAAGTTTCTTGTGTTACTATTTTTAGGACTAAAGACTAAAGCCAGGGAACCCTGTATGCTAGGCAAATGTGTCCAGCCCTCTAGGATAGATTTTCATGAAATTTCTACCATTATACATACATCTCTCTTCTCTCTCATCTTCTTAAAGTTGCATAATGATTTTTTCTGTTAAATTGTGGCCAAATTTAAGTAACTGAGAGACTTTATATGACTAGTATTACAGTTGAGATACACAGTATAGGATTTGAACTTTTTATTTTTCCTGGTGTTTATTATCACCACAGTTTGATCTTCTTAAATTTGAAAAATCTGCACATTAATTTATTCACAGATTTCAAAAAACAAAAATACTTCCAATATATTCAAATATACCAGGTGCTTTTAACATTTCTTTTTGAGGAATCCCACCTATCTTAAAGCATTTTCTATTGCTTCCATTCTCTTCTCCCCTACCAAATTTTACATTTAATACAATTACATTATTGTTTTAGAAACTTTAAGGCTAATAATATTTTCTTTCTCTTCCACAACCGATTACTGTCTCTCAATTTCACAACTTTTAAGGACACTAAAATCATTTTATTTACCTTCCTCTCCCCTTCCAACATCACTTGTCTGTGTATTTGTACATCAAGGTTAATAACATTTACATTCTAATTTATAGCCATGATTTAGTATCCCATTAAAGATGAAAACCATACACAACATTTACATTATAATTATTTAAATGTTATTCACAGAATATCCAAGTTTTATGTTATGACTAGATTTCTTTTTGTTTGGTCCCAAGGTCCTAAGCAAGCTTTGTTCACAGGGACAGTTAAGCCTTTCATTTTCTCACGCTTCCACCATTTGTTCAAAATCTTGCAGCATTTCAAGTCAAGTATTTGGAATAAGTTTTTCTTGTATAGTTTTGTTTTTACTGTGAATTTCAATTTTTTTTTTTTCTTGTGAAGAAATATATGCTTTCCACCACATACAGTCCATACCATCGGCTTCTTATTCTGTGTCTGGTTTACAATCCAGACCGGTATTTCTGAAGTTCACTGCTTAATTTTAATTTACAATTTAACTTTGTTGTTCATTTAACCTTTATTTTTCCCTGAAAGTTTTGGCCTTCCTTTTTTATAATGCATTCTGCGGTCTTTTTCACTTCTCGAAATCTGTTTGGAGTTCCTTTCAAAGCTATGTAGTTTAACCGTTTTCGTGGGTCTTAGCTGAAGTTCTTTTTTCCCCAGCACTGCATTTCTCCCTTACCTAGCGCCAACAAGACTTCTGCCACTGTCCAGGGCCGTTCGGCTGGGATCGCGCACGCGCGGAAGGTACTCGCGAAAGCTCGCGAGATTGAGGGACTTCCTGGGAGTCCGCCATCGTGGTGGCCTCCACAGCCCCGCAGCTTGCTGACGGCTTTATATGTGTACCTGTAAGCGGATGTTCAGGATCACAGAGCCCGCGACGTAGAAATAGGGGAAGTTGATGCGCAGCTGCCAGGCCAGTTCGAAGAAGGCGAGCAAGGTGCGGGAGAGCCCTTTGCAAAAGACCCCGTACGAAGAGGGGGCCACTGCTGGGCTCGAGGCCCTGAGAGCCAAGGAGGAAGGATCTGCCGCAGGAGCCATGGAGCCGTTGTCACCGTCCGCGCAGCGCCTGGAGTCGAAAGCCACAGCAGCCTCCGCAGACCTCTGTGCCACCGCCAGGTCCAGAGAGGGTAAAGCCGCCGCCGAGCTCACACCTGCGCGTCCCGCAGCCGCGGCTTGCTCCAGTGTGGCGCTTGCTGCTATGGGCGCTCCGCCCCTTCCTGTCAGCTTCTCCGAGTGGTACTCAGAGATTAACCAGTGACAGAACTGCGGCAGGCAGTGTTATGTAACACGGACAGACGACCGCAGCGATGTTTCACTTTAAAATGAAAAAGCTAAGTGAAATTACGTGCTTTTTTTGAGGGCACACAATTTGTGAGGTCTAGATCGGGTTAAAACTCCTGTTTGTGTGCTGTGTGATTGCTGCCTTTTTGATGTATTTAATTTTACTATTAGCCCTTCTTACAAAAACTAGTACAGACACAGTTTAATTTGTTATACACCGTAACTAATGAAAAGGTCACAGTCATAGGCTATGGGTTTTCCTGTGTTCGTATTAGGACTATTTAGCTTCCAAGTGGCAAATCACTAAAGCAAAACAAACAACTCCCTCTTGCATACCTTTTGTTTTTGCAGTGCATGCATACAAAATGTATTCTCAACTGTAAGTAATTCAGATCAAATAAGGAATTTCCGGTTATTTCAGCATGCAGGTACAGATGAGAAAAATACAAGGCTTAAAATACTGCTGACATTTAAAGTACTTCCCTACTCTTAAAACCGTTAAATTAGTGTGACTCTTCCATAATCACATTGCTTTTCTCACGTTTAAATTATACACATTTCATTTACCTTTAGAAAACTGTAGTTATCGGCATCATAATCTACATTCATGAATTATTGCAAGTGCATAGTTTGTGCTTATAATCTTCAGTTACAGTGTAGTTCTGAAAAATCTTTGTTCAAATATCCTGTACTGATTATCAGTAGTAGCTCTATAAATTACAATTACTGTAGTCTAGTGTACTTGTTTCTATATATTCTAATAACAGAACTGATAGAAATAACAGGTCATTTTGAAATCCGTAAATCTTAATTGTGTCTTCCCAGCTACAGTTTCTTTTGACACTTTATGGTATCAGTAGCACTGCAGCAGCTGAAAGAATTGATTACTTAACATCAGTCTTTAAATACTGGTATAGAGACTGAAGAGCAGTGCGAAATGTATGACTGAGAGAATGTATATAGTTCCAGTACACACTTCCAAATTATTCTATCTTAAAACTGAAAGAATTCATAAAGCTATTCAGCATTCAGAGAGAAGTCGCTAAGGTCCTGTGTCTTTCACTTCCTTCTATATGAAACTGTTCTTACTCTGTTTTTCATTTCTCCCTTGTGCCATTCCCCTCTCATCCCTGGACCTGATTAGCATTGAAGAAGAACTTTGCCTTCAGGCATTGGTCAGTTATTTAAAACACTCTATTTTGCTTTCTATCTAATAATTTATTTTAAGTCAAGGTAGCTAGTTTTTCCTAATCATTTTTCTCAGGATAAGGTATAGAATTAATCATATAATTACGATTCTGATGGATCCTTTGGTCTGTCAACATTTTATTTGGGAACAAATCCGGTGTTTTGTGAAGACCTATCACTATAAAATGTGAAAAAATTGAGACTTTAATAAAAACTATAATCTCTCATTTTTCTTCTTGATTAAATAGTATTGAAAATACATTTTTATACCATCTCTGATTCATTTATGTAGAATATTTGCATAGCTAAACAAATACTTTTATTCTAGAAAGAATTTTTTCCTCTGTTCTTTCTTTCCTCTACGTCTTTTAGATAATGGAACATATAATGCAGTTGTCAAATTATTAAAATATATTGTATTCTTGATTACAAAGGCCAGGGATGTTCCATGAGACATCATCTATTTATTGCTCTTTCATTAAAAATTAAAAAAAGTAATATTGACAAGCTTGTAAATAAATCATAAGAGTATGATATATGTGTATATATTCATACATGTATTATGGAAAGTAGTTTGAGAATTCTTCTAAGATAGTAGAGGGGAGGGGAGGAGAAGGGAGAGAACAAGAGAGGAGAAGAGAGGAGGAGAAATTTCTTCTACTCTTTAGCAAGGAGAATGAACTACTAGGCCACAAAGTCAGTTTATTTTGAACTCAGTAGAGTTGAGATTGCAAGGTAAGCAGGTAAACTGAATTACAAAAGATGATGAATCTTTCCAGGTCAAATACACAAATTGTTTCATTGTGGTAGGACTGAGACAGAAGTATCTACCATAAATGTAGATCAGAAAAAAATGGCTTCAACTTTAACCAGTTATTATATTTGTTAATAGTAGGTTATGGATTCAGTATAGGATTTCTGGAAACTGCAGATACAGAGCAATGTATAATTGCCACTTCTTTTCTCTGGGCCTCTAGTAAGGGTTTGTAAGAAGGGCTGGAGACAGAAGATGTAAAACATTCTTTTTCATTACATGGCATGGTAAGCAGAAGAATGACCCTCTAAAGATGTTTATAGTCTAATCCTGGGTCCTTAGATGGTGTGCAAACTTTGTAGATATGATCAAGGATATGCATCTGGATTATTTAAACAGCTCTAATTAATAACCCTTAAATGTAGAGCCTTTGTTTTAGTTAGAAGAAGAGAGAGGAGGGGAGAAAAACCAAAAGCAATAGGTTTTAAGTGGTTTCCAGTAGATGAAAACTGCAAAGAAATTGATTTTTTCCTTTATGGCCTCCAGAAAGCAGTGTAACCTTGGTGACATCTTGAGTTTTAGTAAAGTGATCTGTGTATCAGAATTCTGATGAATAGAACTGTAAAATGTGGTATTAAAGTTACTAAATTTATGGTAATTTGTTATAGCAGCAGTAGAAATCTAAAGAACATGGAAACATGGTCTGCTTAAGTTTGAAGGTGGAACTGAACATTAGAGAAAGCCATCTGCATTTTAGCCCCCATATAAATGAAAGATGATTATTGGCTACAGTGAGGGACAAGCAAGAGATCTGCTTGTGTTCTGAGTCCTTCAATATGCTTAGTCTGTCAGTGCTGACCAAGGAGCACTGTCCACTGTAATTTGGATCCTATTCTGATGCCAAGCAAAAAGCTCTGAAACCAGAAGAAAGAAGAAACTCTACCTCTGGACTTGCAATGACCAGTGTTAGAGGTCTGCTGCTACAGAAGGACAGAAAATTCTGGGTCCCACACTGACACTGGCAGAAACCATTTGCAACTCAGAAAAGGTACAAAACTATCCTTAATGGACTGTTCATAGATACCAGTCAGAAGCCATTTGCTGCTAGAAGGGGGCCAGTTAACCTCATGATAGTTAGACCTTCCAGGGTTAAGAGACATTGATTGATACAAGGGAGGCCAGGAAGGGAGCCTGTCTTGGATTGCTTTACTGACACTAGGTAAAGGTCATGTGTTGCCACTGGGGTGGGAGGAGGAACAACACTTTCAAGCAGGATACTACACAGAGCAAGAGTGTTTCATTATTGTGGGAGTGATGGGAACACTAGGAAAGCCCACTTTTGAGGGAAAAATACCTAGCAGGTGATAATGGCAATTGCTAGGGGTGAGGAAAAACACGTGATTGTTCCACTGTGAAACTGCACTGAGAAATAGGAATGTGGCAGGACATCCTTTTCTGTGATGCATGGATGGACAGATGAAGCAGGCATGAATACCAGAATCTCCTTTGTACTTTAGTCCTCACAATGAATGCAAAGCTGTGGCAAATTCTATTGTTGGGATACTTTGAATCCAAATGCATATAACATATGGACTGGCTAAAGTTTCACATATGAGTTGCCTACAGAGTTGGAAACATGTCTTTTTTTGCATGATAATATTTACTTTACTTCATAATTTATTATACATATCTAAACAAATATGCCAACAACCAGCATTGTTAATAGAAAACAAGAGGCTAAGATGTTGAAATTATGAGTCTTTAATCATAACTAAGCAGGGCAAGATAGTGAATGCCTGCAGTTCTAGCATTTGGGGAGGCTGAGGAAGTAGGATCTCAATTTACAGCCCACTCTGAGCAATTTAGGGACTCTATTTCAAAATAAAAGCTAAAAAGGGATGGGATTGTAGCATTGCGTTTTAACCTTTTGTGTGTGTATGTATGTATACATGTGCACATGCACTCATGATTATTACTAAAAATGTGGGCAACTGAAAAATTTTGGAGACATAGTAATTATATGAAGAATTCAGATGAAAACACTGGACAAGAAAATCTTGAAGATGAATGATTCATTTGCTAGCTTATTAATTGGGCACAGTAGAGACTAAAAATTAGTGATCAGTGAAGGTAAATTAATAGAAAAATGCCTGAGCTGAAAATAAAAATGAAACAAAAGGGAGAGTTGATGAGAGCAAATTGAAAACATTGACAATACTAATTGCTTTCATGCATTACTGATGGTGATAAAAATGGCATAGTCGCTTTGAAAAACAGGTTTTTTTTTTGCCGGGGATTGAACTCATGACCTCTCCTTTGCCAAGCAGGCACTTACCCTGCTGAGCTAAACCCCCAGCCAACTTTATTGTTTTAAAAATAAATATAGTGCTAGGTCTAGCAGTAAAATTTGGAAACTTGGGGTATTAGCATCTAAAAACTATTTAATATATGCATTCTATCTAGATGCTTAGTTTGAATTTGCTTCTTTGCACTTTGTGATGATTTTTTGGTACCTTTTAATCACTGCCTTTTTTGCTTAAGCCACCAGAATAACTTCTTTTAATAATTTCTAATGAGTTTATATTAGTACTTCTAATTGAAATTTCAGTATCTATTTTTTTTTCTCATGCTGAAAACTTTGCTCTCTAACAATACATTTGCATATATTTGTGTGTATCTCAGTGTGTAAAATTTTCAAGTTAACAATACTTGGTTTACTTTCTAGCCATATAATTGTCAACAGTTTTAAAATTTCTATTAGGGTATATCCTAATGGAGATAAAAGTCAAATTATATCTTAAGATCATTTGAAACAATTTCTGTTTTTAGTTAAACCATCAATCAAATTGTTTCATCTTTTGTTTGAAATTTTATGATTGTTTAATGAATTTTCATGGCACTGAAATAAAAACTTCAAAATAATGTTTCCAGAGAAGCCTCATTTCTTCTCCTTTCATTGGTTTCCTTTCCTATTGAACATTCCTATAGAACATTTACCTTTTCTTAGATAATATATAGCACTGTATAAGTGTTATTCTGTATTTTGCTTTTTATAAGTATAACCAGGAATGACTCCATCAGACTACATAGCAGTCATTGGCATTCCTTTTTATAACTGAATAGTACTTTACTCATCTCGTCTTTGCAGTTATACATTAATTCGGGATATAGGTGACTTAGCAAAGTTCAGCACATTTCATAGCTGCCCAGGGGTTAAGGGGGGACGTAGACTGGTTTTTTTTGAATAGTAAATTATTTTTCACTTTAGAAGGGTAAGGGATAATTATAAATTTTAATAGCATCATGTCCAGTAATTTTTTCTCTGGAAATAGTTAGAATTTTATCTTTTGGGATGACATAGAATTTTAACACATCGATCGATCGATATATTCTGTTGGCTAGAGCCCAGTCACTTGATCACACATAACTGCAAAAAATTTTAGGCGATTCAGTGGCATGTGTGCTCAGGAAGAAGAGAAGAGTAAGAATTTTGTTGAACTGCATACTGTTTCCTACATTTTTATGTCTGTTCTTCACCACATCTACCTTTCAACCCACACATAGGACGTAACCTATACTTCCCTGTGAACACAACCCACAGTCCTATTAGGGAGTCCCTATTTCAAATTAAAAACTTCAGCTTCTAGTGCAGAGTTTCTGGGTGACAGCCACTTCTTAGCATTTTTGCATGTGGTTCCTCATGATCTGGAGATAAACTTAGAATTAATACCATCCTTCATTCCCCATCTCCAAGTATAAAATGGCTAATTGGGGTCAGGGTAGCTAGAACACTCCCATTCCTTTACAAGAGAATGGAAGGAAAACAGTGGTCTGTGAGTAAAACCTAAGTGGCCTCTATGGAACTGCTTGCACAGACTTAAACGTAGAAATTCTTGGTTTATCCTTGTGTCTGATCTCAGGGAGGAGCTCTCTTACCCAGCATTCTCCGTGGCTTTGTGCTCCACCCTTTTCCTATGCTACAATGTCTTCCTTGACTATTGCTGAATTGAATTATGGATGAGATATACTCCTGGAGAAGTTACATATTTCAGGACATTCCAAGGAATACAAATTTGGGATCTAGAAAGCTATTTTAATATTACAGATTTTATTAAGTCACATGCAGCATTTACTAGCAAATACAATATCCTCAAAATTTTTGAAAACTTTAAAAAATCTATTTGCTTCCAATTAGTTCCATGTTTTTCATATAAACATTTCCACAAAGATTTTCCTCATACCAAAGTTTCATATCCCAATACGCAAATAAGTATTTTTGCTTAGCATACTGCACATCTCTTCTACTTCAGTGGCAGCTATTGTGAAGGCATATGATAGGGCACAGTCTGTTTAACTGAAAAATCTTAATGAACCTTTGTTGCTGTTGGGTTTTGTGCTAATCTCAATTGCTTACGAGAACCCAGTGTTTAAATATGGCATGGTTTCATTAATAGGAGAAACTCAAACTATAATTTGAAGAGAGATAGCAGAAGCAGAGAGATAATTGGAGATGGAAAGGGAATGAGAAGTAGGGAGAGGGAGAGTATGGTGGGCAGAGTGGGATGAAGTGAAGGAGTAAACATGATCAAGATTCAATATTTATATGACTAGATCTCCAAGATAAATGTAATTATTATGTATTGCAAACATATGCTAATAAAACTTTTTAAAAATTCATTATGTTGATGGCCTAAGTAGAGTGTAACAAATTAGTGTTTATCTTAGCAATTAGGGCAGTAAGGAGGGAGGAGAGGGAAGGAATTCCTAATAGAAAGGAATGTATGGCAGCATGGCTGGTTAGCTGGAAAGTTCCAGTTTTTGACAAGATGTGATAACATGGTATAATTTGTTTCTTTTATAGTGAATTTAGGTTATATATCTATGTCGTATGTAAACATAAAAATAGTTTCAAAAGCAGAAAAAGTTAGTGGAATATAAAATTAAAGCATAATGACATTTTCATAGATATTGTATTTTGATTGTTACTGAATAAAGAGGAAAAGGGAATTATGTTAGCAGGAAATACAACTTAAAAGTTTTAAGAAGCCTTTATAAAAAAGATATTTGAAAAAAGGAAGAGAGAAACAAGAACCATAAATGCACACTTTTAGTGCTAATCTTGGTGCAACCTTCAATCATTAAATATCTAGATTTTCCTAGACACTTAAAAAATTCGACTTAATTATTTGTAATATAACTTTCATTAAGTCAGAAAATGAATTTCCAATGAATTTTAGTATAGCTATCACACACTGTGGACAATAACTATACTCATACTGTTAACTCTGAAGATCATAATCACAAGCATATTCTAAAATTATGTGTATGTGTGTATGTGACTATGCATATGTACACTTGTGACTTGGGCAAATATTTTGTTAGCATAGTTTTTTTTCCTTGTTCCTTGTTGGAGAACAAACCACAGAGAGTAAAGTATTTTTTGAACTATAATATAAATTTAGTATAATAGTTGTATATATTTGTATATATGCAGTCCTAATTTTATTACACCAAAAAACCCCCAGAATGTAATAGTTGGGCATTTAGGTAAACAGCTGAGGGGATTTTACTTGCTCTATGATGATATTAAAATATGAACTAAAGATTTTTCCTTTTAAGTTTTTAAAAAATTGAAATTCATTTTAACTATTCATAAAAATATAAAAACTGTACATTAATGGGATGCTACCATGTGACATTTGAATATATATGTACAATGTGTAATGTTTAAATCAGTTTACATATATTTATCTCCTGAAGTTTTTTGTTATTTATTTATTTATTTGTTTATTTATTTTCTTTTTGTTTTTTCAAGACAGAGTCTCCTTATGTAGTTCAGTCTGGCCTCAAACTCAGGGCAATCCTTCTGTCCTAGTCTCCTGAGGGCTAGGATTACAGGAGTGCTATCATGCCCAGCTCTCCTAAAGTATTTATCATTTATTTATGATGAAAACATTCAAACTAACTTTTTGAATAAAGACAATATACTGTATTTTCTATCAATAATATGCAAATATCCATATTAAAAAACTCACAGGCAAATTAAAGTTCCAGAGCTTTGTTTTTGGTGTTATTTTTGTCATAATTATTAGAATGTATGTAGCAAAGAAAAAATGGTAAATAAATTCATTGAAAGTATGTTGGTTTTAGGTTAGTCTTGATGAAGCAGGTGAAGGAAGATATTCTTAAAAGTCATGGAGAAGGAAATTAATGTTCTTCCATCACAGTGAACTGTGGCATTCAGTAAACTGCACTCTGATCATATCTATCATTTAAGTTTCTCTCCTTTAGCTGCCATCATTGTCATCATCATGTACCTCACTTAATGCTTTATTTTGGAATGATCTCATACCTAATTTGGACCGTGTCTAAGTAATTTTCTAAAGACTGTTACTGTGGATAATAAGGCACACTGGCCAACAACAAGGTCAAGTCAACCTTATACTTTAAGACTTAGAAATTCATCATACTTTAAATTTAAGATACATTGTTTGAACAAATGATCTTAAAATCATCAAAGGATAACTACATGAAGATTTAGTTTTTAGTGCACATAAAATTCTTTTCATAAAAAAAAGATAAAATAAATGGAGTATTTCATAAATAAGCTCTTATTTCTAAAGAGAGGATTTTAGGAATCAATGGACAAATAAAAGTAAGCTGTACATCTTCTATATCAGAATTGAGTAACACGTTCTTAGGCAAAAAGTCTCATAAGAATATATGGAGACTAGGGCTTGGGACATAGCTCAACAGTACAGTACCTGTCTGGCAAGCACAAGGTCATGAGTTTGATACTTGGTACCCTCTCCAAATATATATATATATTTGGAATATTATATATATATATATATATATATATATATTGAAATATATATATATATATATGATTATTAAGGATTTACTTAAAAATTAAGCAATGTTAACAGCTTAATAAACCACAGAGTCACTGTGTTTTTACTTATTGGAATGCTATTTTGAGATCAAATTCTTTGTGTTAAATTTTCTCCAGTAAAAGCCTTGGTGAGGATTCAGCAACAGGTAAATTGTTACCAAAAATAGCCACTCACATCAAATCCTTTTTCAGTTTTTAAAACCAATGTGTAATTGGTCTATTTGTGGTAATGGATTATTAAGGTCTCCCATTATAATCATATTACTGTTTATCTTATATTTTTGTCTCAGTGTTTGTTTTATGAAGATAAGTGCACTGTGCTTTAATGCATGTATGTTTATAACTGTTATCCCTTTATGTTGAATAGTTAGTTCCGTTAAGCGCTATGTAATGTCCTTTCTTGCTTCATTTGATCAGCTTTGACTTGAAATACTCTGACTGAAAATAAGATAGATATTCTTGCTTGTTTTCAGATTCCTGTTTTATGGGATATTGTTTTCCATCCTTTGATTTTTAGCCTATGAATTTTTATTTTATGTTAAATATGATTCTCGAATTCAATGTACTTTTAGATTCTGTTTTTGATGCCTCCTGCTGATCTGTGTATTTTGTTCGATGACTTGTTTTTCTGCAATCTTGAAATCAGGAGAAACTTTTAAATTTTACAGTCCATGTTATTAAGTTTTAAAGTCATGTGCCATGGTTTTATGTATCTAAGAGGTCTGTTTTTAAAAACAACATTTCTTCTAAATGTTTTATTGTGTTAGTTTTTACATTTAGGTTAAAGATCAATTGTGAGTTAATTTTTGGGCATGAGGTTTGAAGGAATAGCTTAAGTTCATTATTGCTAGATTTATTAGCATTGTTTGTTTACAAAAGTAATAATGTATCATTGGGTTTCTGTGACATCTTCTAAAATCATATTAGCCATGAACATAATTGTTAATTCCTGAATCCTCGGTTGTGTTTTTTTCCTTTTTCAATCTAAATGTGATGATCAAACTATGTTAAATATTACAGCACTGTAAAAAGCTTTGAAATCACAAACTGTAATCATCCAATTTTGTTATGATTTAAAAATGTTTGACACTTTAAAAATTTGCATTTACATGCATACTCTTAAGAATAATTTTTAACTTTCTGCAATAAAAGAAATCTTGTTTGAATTTCATAGTGGTTTCATGAATATGTAAATTGGATTTTCATATAGAAAGACTCCCTTAAACTGGATTTCAGTGTAGCTAGTCTTCCTTGCTTGCACAGGTCTCTGGTAAATTTAAAATATAATGTCAGCCACTTATTTTCTATTCTAGTTGTTGCAAGAGTACTTCATATGTTATGTGTATTTGGAAGTCTTCACATGGAATTATTTTATTTCTTCCTAGTTCTGGAGATTGAACGCAGGGCTTTGCACATGGTAAGCAAGCATTCTGTCACTGAATTACATCTCCACACCCTCATAAGTAAATTTTAAGTTTAGATTACTCTGGATCAAGTGACTATTTAACCATCTCTGGCTCCTACCCTAAATCAGACAGAACAAACTGGAAGTACTTCATACAATTAGCTTATGGAATCCTCTTAAGATGAAGACAAAAACAATATTATTTCTCTCTGTGTTTTACAATGATTGTCTTGAAGCTGAGAGAAGTTTTAAAGCAGAATCTAAGATCAGAGTTGTATAAGCAGAGAATCTGATTTTCTGTGGCCCTGTGACTCCAAATCCTCCCATAAAAACTGTTAACTATAAATACTCAGAAGGAATAAAATATGTAACTGGGCTAATTTAACACTTACAAGTCTTAAAATTTAAGTCATCAAAATGAATTAACAACAGAAAGATAAAACTGAATGTATGGGAAAGTCTTTATTCTACAATGAAGAACATATGTTAAATAAGAACTATTAAGAAAATTACTGATTATTTCAAATAATCTTTCAATATTAACAACACAGGAGAATAACTTTACTAAAGGCCTACGCATGACAGATATGTTTGCAAAATATTAATGTGCAATGTCTGAAGGGGAAAAGGCATTATTTAAACTTATACAACCCCCTGAAACACATTATAGGACAATAATTGCTTCTATCCATAAGAGATATGTGCATGCATGTTTGTGTGTGTACTTGTGTGCATATACAGGCATGCTTTCTAGATTCTAAAGAAATCATAATAAGATAATACATAGACATTAGTTATCAATTACCAGATTTTAAAGGTAATGTAATGGTTGACACATTGTGTCAATTTGAGAAGTCTAGAAGTTTAGCTAAGTAACTGAGCAGTTTTACATCCTAGGTTATAGATGACAAATCCTTACCTCTCTAGGGTATTGTTCATAGTGTCTACTTGAGAAGTTTATAAGTTTTAACTAAGTCACTCATCAGGAGGACAGGGTCATTATTTTATAAATACTACCATGAACCGGTGCAAGTGAAGCGCATGGAGATGGTAGGTCTAGCAATGATGGGTAGGTTGCATATAATATAAAGGAGGAAAAGAGGCTTGTTCTCTCCCTTCTTTTGCTTTTGATGCTTTTGCTATCTTTTGGCATCTTGAACTGTTGCTCCTCAGCCATGCCACTTTGCCTTGGACCAGCTGTTAGAGACTGAAACCTCCACAAACTGTGAGCTAAATAAAACTTTCTTTCCTTAAGTTTGGGCATTGGATATTTTGTTTCAGCAACATTAGAAAGATAATTAAGACAATCGATCTTCTTGGCTTCACAAGAAATATTTAGCTGTGTTTGCAAAATTTGGGCTTTTTTTCTACATAAATCTGAAATTCAAAATGAATCGGTAGTGTTGATCATTCTAAATCAAACTAAACTTCATGAAATGATTTAGATATTCACTATTGGTTCCTGTTTTGAGATCTAAAATTTTACTTTAAAGAAATTAAAGCAGACTTACACAAATTACAGGGAGGTAAAACAAGGAAAAACTACGTAATACTGAAATAGAATATCTATTTGCATTCTAGCAAATTAGAATGCAACTTTCACTAACATTAGTTATGCTATATGCTGATATATGGCAGAGTATATGAGTAAGAGCTAATTTTGGCTCTTTGTGAAAAAAAAAAAAAAAACCAAAACTCTGTTTTCTATAAAGGCAGGGTTGAATTAATCCATGAGCATACTCTGCTGCTTTCCAACAAAACTGCCCATCCAGAAGTTGACGGCAAATAGAATTCAAAGTCAATGTATTAGAGGAATCAAGACCAGTAACAGTCCTGTATTTTCTGCTTTTCACATATGTTAAGTTTCTGTGGAGCATTTTGATCTTAGTCATGGTAGAATTTGCTGTTGCAAATTTTGCCAATGTTTTCATAGTACTGGTGAACTATATTGACTGGGTCAGAAAAGGAAAAATCTCCTTATGTGATGAAATTCTCACTGCTCTAGCTGTATCCAGGATTGGTTTGCTTTGGGTAAAAGTAATAAATATGTTTATAACTGTGCTTAATCCAATTTTACAATGTAATCTTTTTTTTTTCTTTTTTTTGGTATCTGCGTGGTTAATAACCAATCATTTCAGTATCTGGCTCGCTTCTGGCCTGAGCATATTTTATTTGCTCAAAATAGCCAGTTCCTCCAATCATGTTTTTCTTCACTTCAAGAGAAGAGTTAAGAGTGTCATTTTTTGGGTATGTTAGGGGCTTTTGTGTTACTGCTTCTTCAGATTGCCATAGTAACCAAATATGCAGCAATGGCAGTGGAAGGATGTGAAGAAAATGTTACTTGGGAGTCTGAACTCAGAAAAATTGTATATAATGTTCAAAAATAACTATTTCTTCTGATGATATTTGCACCGTTTTTACATCCATGATCTGTTTTCTGTTGTTAATCTACTCCCTTTGCAAACATCTCGGGAAGATGCAGGTCTATGGAAAAGGATTGTATGACCCCAGCACCACAACGCATGTGAAGGCTTTGCAAACCGTGATCTCCTTTCTCTTATTATTTGCCTTATGCTTTTTGTCTGTAATCGTATCCATTTGATTTTCTACTAGTTTCCATAATGAAGTCTTCTTTTTTTCTCAGGTTATTGGGATCTTATATGCTTCATGCCATTCGTGTGTCCTGATTTGAGGAAACAGAAAGCTGAAACAGGCATTTTTGTCAGTTCTTTGGCAGGCAAGGTGCTGGCTGAAAAAATATTCATATCTATAGCAATAACGGGGAAGGGTGTGACTTCCAGCAGAAACTGAAGTCTGGTATTTTGTACTTCATAATGTATAATTTTTGCATAGTATATTTGAGTGCTTTCTATAGACATTCCTAGAAAATATTTTAGCTAAACTTGTTAAATAAAAGTACATGTTTGTGTGTTAGTGTGCACATACAGAAAATATAAGAAAAATTGTGAAAATATATATAATTTTTTTGTACAAACTGCCTAATTATACAAAAAGTATATATACTTGAGGTACAATTTATTTCTTCACAAATTCTTCATGTTTAATTAAAAAGAAATGCAATTTTTATTATAAAATATCCACATATTCAATAACAGATTTATTTCTATCATACATAGTATAGAATATTAGATTTTGAATAAGTACATGAAAAGCTTAGATGATTACTATATCTGTAACAAGGATGAAAAAGAGAGATCCATGTTCATGACTTGATTTTAATGCATATGCAGTTACAAAATTCATCTTTCAGTCATCTCACAGTTTTTTTTCTTTCTTTTTCCTTTTTTTTTTTTTTTCTTTTTAAACTGAACTTTTGTCTACCTATACTTTAAGCTGGCCTTGAACTCATAATCTTCTTCCTTCTTTCTCACACTGGAGGGATTGCAGGCATGCCCAGCCATCTTTGGCTAGTTTCCTATTCTTGAAATAAGGACTACATTTTTTGTAGTAGAAATATGAACTTACATATTTCTTTTTTTCCCTAAGCCACTTTTGGGCCTCTGAATCAATAATCATTTTCTTCATTTACCACTCAAAATTTCTTTTAAATTTAACACATAAGTCTAATTTTTTCAGTACTATATATATGCTCACTATAAAAATATTATAGAGATTGTTATGCATAATTTCATGAAAATGCTTCAGCCATTAAAGTGATAAACCTGAAATGTGCTTCATAGTTACAGGGAATTGTTTAAGATCTAGTTAAATATAATCTGGTATAAAATGTGGACATGAAAGTATTGATACAATCATTAATGGTAGGGGAAAGGAAATGTATCACCTTGTACAATAGTTGAATTTTACATGACTAAATTTGCACTTATAGTCATGGAAAGGTTAGCATTATCATCTAAGATAACATGTAACATCTTGATAACTAATTTATTTATTTGTATGTTTGTCATACATCTTCCCTGGAATAGTATGAACTCCACTGAAGCTGAAATAACAAGTGTCTTGTTTACCTTTATTTTTAGCACCTATATTGGTGATAGAATAGTTGTTAAAAGTGGTATTGAATAAATAAATACACAAATAAATTAACTATATGAGGACTGGTAAAGCCACAAAAATAAAACCTTTCTCAAAAATCTTTCATGAATTTCTTGGGTCTGGTTTCATATGAGTTACAGGCTTATCCACACAGGATCATTTCTTTTTTGTCTTTTTCGTTTTTATTGGTACCAGGGATTGAACTCACGACTGCCTGCTTGCAAGGCAGGCGCTTATGCCGCTGAGCTAAACCCCCAGCCCCTACAGGATCATTTCTTAAAGCAAATGACTGGCTAGAATTATTACATAATGACTAGAATTATTACATAATTCTAGTGAAAATATCACTAAAATTCCACAATTCTAGGTAAAATATCACTAAAATATAGCCTCAATGCAGCTGTATCATAAAGTGATGTGAAACATCAAAATTAGATGGCATTTGTGACAATAGGGTTTTAAAAATATATAAAATTTTAAAAATTGTATATACAGTCTGCATTGTAAGTGATGTTAAAGTTGCTCCTTTAAAATACAAATGGCATTTAAAAATGTAATTAGTACCTGTTGTTCTCTCTTTTTGCTTTATTTTATGTTTTGTTTCAGTGCAGAGAAATAAATTTAGGGCTTTGGGTATGTGAATTAAACACTCTACAACTGTGCTGACACCCAGCCTAATAATTTCTTTCTAAAGTGTTATTTTGTTATTTTTAGTAAACTTTCTAAGTACATTTCTAATTAGTATATTGTAGACTAAAATAAAAAATGAAACAAAAATTGTAAAATCCAATGAGTATTTTAGCTAAGGGCTTTTGAAAGTAGACAGTGTCAGGGATTAAAGTGATAATATTGGTTAGGTCATTGCTGAGACAAAAATATCAGATACTCAAAATTAAGGAAAGAAAAGTTTATTTAGCTTGCAGTTTGTGGAGGTTTCAGTCTCTAATCAGCTGGTTCAAAAGCAGGGAGGATTGGCACAGGGGCAACTTCAAGGCAGCAGAAGACAGCAAAAGCAGCAAGAGCAAAAGCGGGGAGAACAAGCCTCTATTTCTCCTTTATATTATAAGCAGATTATCCTCTCCCAGGGTGAGTGCTCTAACACTATCTCTCCATCCTCCTCTTGCACAGGATGAGGATGTTTACCAAATGAGGGCACTGGCTTCCTGCTTGAGTTAAGCTACTGAACTTCTCAAGCAACATCTTGAAGTAGACTCAATGTATCAACCATTAAAAGAAGTAAGGTCCAGGGAAGAAATTAGGTAAAGATAGAAATTGAGCCAAAAGATGATGGGAAACAATGTGATGTGATGTGTGATTTTGCTGGTGCACACTTCATGATGAGCTGAGAAACAGCAAGATGATCAGCACATGTGTGTACTTATTCCTTAGTAATTTTCCAGAAGGACCTGAGAGGAAACTAGATCTAGTATCAGTCCATGAGAGATACAGAGGAGTGGCAGTTTATCTTTTTAACTCCTCTGTGTCTTTTATTTTCTGTTGATCTGAGTTTATACCACTATGTCCTACATCTAAAGATGCATATATATTTGTATCTAGTCTTCCCAGTATGCAACTTTGATGCATTCATATTTATAAATGTATGATTTGTATAGTTTTAGGGAACTCTGTACTTAGAAAGTACTTATACTTGTTTTAATGCTTTGCACTAGGTGTTTTGTTTCTTAGGGACAGAGTACTCCACTGTTGAAGAAGGAAAATTCTTGCATTAATTCATTTGGTATTTGGTTACTCCTTTTCCTTCGAGTCAAATCTGAGAAATGTATGTCACTGAACATTAAAAAGACCGCTAGCAGGTTTGAATCTAGTGAGTCATCTCAGGGTGGTCAAAGCGGTATGGAGAAAGTATACACCAATTATGGAGCCCTTTCTCACTCTGGGTCCAGTTGAAGCCAGTAGCCTTTAAGGAAATTTCAGAAATGTGTCAGTGTGATATCTGGGAATGTGATATATGTTGACCCCCAAGTAGAAAGATTCCCAACATGCATGGTGGCACTATTTTAGTGATAGAACATATAGGCTAGAAAGGCATAATTTTTTTTTCTTTTTTATTGGTACCGGGGATCGAACTCGCAACTGCCTGTTTGCAAGGCAGGCGGTTATGCCGCTTAGCTAAATCCCCAGCCCCCCAGTATACTTTTTACTTTAAAAGAATGTTTGTATATGTGGATAAGAACCGTGGACTCCTATTATTGATGCAAAATGCCTTAGAATTTTCTCATTTCAAGTTTTATGTTTTTCCAATATTATATTTTATAACTTTTTGGGAACCCATAATTTCCTGCTTATAGGTACCAATTATTATCCTATATTGAATGACTTCAGTGCTTAGAAAATTTACTGAAACTGAGAGCAGAAGGGATATGTTCATGATAATAAAGGTGACTACAGTTCTTAACACAAAATTTAGATTGTTTGGTTTTGTCTAATGATAGTGATATATGAAAATCATTTACAAATCAAAAAACCAAATGCAAATTGAGTAAAAATACTCTGTCTTGGAGAACAGTTTCTAGGGTAATGGAAATCTATGTAGTCTATATTCATTCTGTAGTCTGTCTGGCTATGATAGCACCCAGACACATTAACTTAGTGCTGATATGAGAAGGAAGATTACTCTGTGTCATTTGTGTGGCTGTACAATTAGTTTCATTCCTTGGAGAATGGAGTTGATACATGTTATTCATTGTCTGAAAGGCAGTGATAATTTCAGAAGTTTCCCCTTGGTCCTACTTATAATAATGTCCTACATGTCAGGCAGCAATGAGAATTTTCTTGGTTGCCAATCTGTGCATTTCATGCATACATTCAGGAATAATTAAGTAATAATAAACTCATTAACTCTACCTAGGGAGCATTTGAGATTTAGAACCTCCTAATCCATGCTGTGGGTCATCAGGTCTCTGGGTTCCCAGATATTAGAGTCACATCAGAGTGTATCCTTAAAGTCTTAGGCAATGTGAATACCTGCCTTCTTGTTTGGGCATCTTCATCTGAAAAACAAGCCTTTGGGAAATAGCACATGAACACATCATGATATTCCTGAGAGTCCTTTTGGGTCTTTTATTAGGAGGCTTAGATTTTCCTCAATCACTGGGTTTCTCTCTCTCTCTCTCTCTCTCTCTCTCTCTCTCTCTCTCTCTCCTCTCTTCTATCTCTTTTTAAAATTCTCTTTCTTTTTATTAACTAATTTTAATAACTAGCATTTCGTAGTCAGTTTGTGAAACTTGTCATGAAGGAAAATGTTGATGTGAAATAAATTAATGTTTTCCAAATATGAGTAAGTATAAACTTGATACAGAAATATATAAGGATAGTCCATTCTCAAATTTGACTTATTCAAGTACAGAATTACATTGTTTCCAATCACAGTAAAAGACACATTTAGGGACTCAGAGCCAGTTCCTCATGGGTTAACAGAGACCTTGCTGTTACTCCCAAATCTGTCTCTTCTGTAAAAGCCCATGAATTTTCAGTGCCGGCTCCAAAGCTACACATCCCCACATTTGCATTTCTTTTTGTTTTTCCAGAATACATCTTAGTTGAAAGGAGACTAGTTCAAGAGATTACCTCTACAGTGATGATATGCTTTTCTTTAATTCTTAGTATTCTTGCCTTTTTAAAAATTTTGCATCATTATTGTTTCTTTTAAAAATGTGTATTTGTGAGAATTTTCAAGCTACACTGGATTATCTTATTGCTCAGAATTGCTCAGGTGTGTGTGTGTGTGTGTGTGTGTGTGTGTGTGTGTGTGTAAGTGTGTGTATAGGGTCAATTCTTTATAATAAATAACACATTTATGTGTTAATAGAATGTTGCTTAATTTTTTCATTTACTCTGCTGATTGCTGTTTAGTTATTAATGAATGTTTGTGTATCGGGGACCAGGCCTAGGACCACTGATCTGCTCTGGGGTATTGACAATAGAAAAAAAACACAAGGAAGAG